GCTTTGCTTTCCAGGCATGAGGGCAGAGGGGATGTCACCCCTCCTGGCTCTGGGGCTCCTGGTAGCTGGGCTCTGCTCCAGGGTCCACTGCCTCCCAGAGGGTGCACTTGACCTGGAGAAGGTGACCCAGGAGGACCAGCACAGAGAGGCATCTGTGGACAACTTCACATTAGCCTCCAGCAACACCAACTTCGCCTTCAGCCTCTACAAGCAGTTGGCTTTGAAGACCCCCAATGAGAATGTCATCTTCTCCCCACTGAGCGTCTCCATGGCCTTGGCCTTCCTGTCCCTGGGGGCCCGCGGCACCACCCTGACGGAGATCCTCGAAGGCCTCAAGTTCAACCTCACGGAGACCCCTGAGTCAGAAATCCACCAGGGCTTCCAGCACCTCCTGCAGACGCTCGGCCAACCCAGCAACCAGCTGCAGCTGAGCGTGGGCAACGCCATGTTCGTCCAAGAGCAGCTGAAGCTGCTGGACAAGTTCAGGGACGACGCCCAGGCGCTGTACGCGGCCGAGGTCTCCTCCATCAACTTCCGGGACCCCGACACCGCCAAGAGTCTCATCAACGACTATGTGAAGAATAAAACCCAGGGGAAAATTGTGGATTTGTTCAAGAGGCTTGACCCACTCACAGAAGTGGTCCTGGTGAATTACATCTACTTCAAAGGTGGGCGCCCGGCTCGGGGTTTGGGAAGAAGCACGCTTTTAGCTCTGAGGCTTCAGCGCTATGTCTGTCCCGGCTCAGCCAACTGTGTTGTTAGCAAAACCTTGTAGAGGAGGCTGCCCTCGGCTCAGGGGGTGGTGGGCACCGGGTCCTGCCCCGACCGCAGGCTTTGTCTCTCCTGTCACAGTGGTCACTGGAGGACGGAAGCGCAGGGGAGCCCACTAACCCTTTGTGTGAGGCAGAGGGAGCCTTCTTATTGTGACTTAAATTTGGGCAGCTGCCGGAAGGCAGGAGCTTTCCTTTCAGATCCCTGGGGGTGGCCGGGAACCCCAGCTTCCTCCCTGATGAGACGCTTTTGGACATGCTCAGGGAACCCTCAAGTGTGCACACCACGGCTGTGTCTGACCTGGGCGAAGTCCTGGCTGAGTGGATGGTCCCCTGCACTTCCCTCTCCCACCCTGTCCAGTCCTGGGACTTTCTCCTCAAAATCTCCTCCCAAGGGACACCCACCCAGCCTGGCTTTCCCTCTGCAA